ATAGGGGGAAAGGAAAAAGTACCAGCCGTTGGTTTCACGCTCTGGGTGTTGCTGCTGCCCTTGGCTGCAGGGTGCGCCCTGTCGTGTGAGGTGGTGCGGCGGCCCTTTCTCCGAGGCCTGAGTCGCTAGATGGAGGGAGGCGGCCCCCCTCCGACCCAGTGGCCTCTGCTGCTTGGAGTAGAGCGCGTCCGCAGCCGTTACTCGGGGACACGGAAGGGAAATCCCTGACAGGACAATTGGCTGCTCTTCTGCAAGGAGGCAAAGGGGTTATCCACGTACCTGCGTGTGCTTGGCCTTTCCTTCGTTCTGCAGAACGAAGACGCCAAATGGGGCAAAGAACCCACCGACAGCGCTGCGCTCCCCAGCGGAAAAGCAAAAGCTATTTTCCTGCAATTACTAATGCTTGACGTATACATACATTTATACATCTGTTTTTTGTCCAAAGTAGTTGGTGCCAAGAAGCAGCTGATGTGGAGACCTGCAGCCTCTGAGCAAAGATGTCTCTCGCTGACGAGTTCCAGAACAAAGGGAGATTAACTGTTAGGGATTGCAGTTATTTGCATACCGTCTATTGCATTTCCAGGCAAAAAAGGTTAAAAAGAGGACTGACGAGGTTTAGGAACTATCTGTAGTTCAGTGAAGCTTTAAATCAAGTTAACACTCTCGCAGCCCCTGGGGGATTTGCATAATTTCCATAATGTGCAGCATGTTTTTTGCCTCCCGATAGAAGCCATCAGTTATGTAAGCAAATTGGTTGCATAATTATGCAGATGGGAAAATAAATTTAATTGATTCAACAGAAAAGTGTACTGTGCATTTCACCCGGGATTTCCTTTAACTCAGGGAGGAATAAAATAAACTGGGAGGGGTAATCAGTGGGTGACACTGCCAGACACCGGCTCCATTGTGTGGGGCACCCATTTTCAAACAGCGCCAGAGGAACCCCTCCCCCCTGAACACAGGAATTAATTTCTCCCTTTTTGCTAAAGGCCTCAATGCTTACTGCTTCTATGGGAGCAGTATTGTGGCTTTATCTGGTCTCGTTATTCCCTATCAGTTCCCAGGACACATCCCACTGGCTCAGCAAGAGCACCACAGACATTTCAGAATGGAAAGCTTGTTTTATACCAGATAAAATCAACATCTGAAGCAGTCTGTATTTTGACTACCTCTTGTTCCCTACCAGGAGAATTTTAAGCATTGTGATAAAGTTGCTACAAGCAGCAACTGAGCCATTTTCTCCCCGCTCCTTCGTTTCTGTTCTGGTCCTCGGTCTACAGATGGTCAAAAAGTGGCATCAGTTTCTCCAGTCCCATCACACGCAATGGCACAGAAGCTCTGAGACCAATGTCAACTTTATTTTTTGATACTGCCCATCATACTAGTAATTTTAGAAAAGAGTTATGCAGAAGGTGTTAAGACTGAAAAATGTAGACCTGGGATTTGCCCCCCTCCCCCGCCGCAAAGATGCAAGATGCATCTGGAGAATGTGAAAGGACAAAAATGCGAACTAGTAATTGCTCTTAATGCGGTTGTATTTTACTAAACTGAGGAGCATGGCATTAAGATTTTGGTAATTAAAAGTCTGATTACTACACCAGGGACATTTAATTTTACTATTTCTCCTCATGTGAAACTCCCACTGACATCCATTTAGAATTCTTCAGCTAATTGAACACAGCCCATAGGCCTCGCTGTAGCCTCCACTCGAGTCTGTAGTTAGAACTGGAAGCTGGCCATGTCCACAGCTGGGAGTTTCAGCCCAATTTATTCATGAGCATTTGCTACATTATGTGCTATGGTGTGGTGAAAAACCGCGTAGTCTGACTGATTTCACACATTCTTAACCTCCTCCTGCAGCATATCATACTCTAGATTCTTGTAGTAGTTTCGAGATCCTAAACTCTCCACGTCTACTTTGCCATTTGCCTATCCTCATGCATACCCGAGAACATTAATTACAGGGATCTGAACAGAATTAAATAGCTTAATGAAATACTGACTCACACATATTTTGGATACTTCATATAAAGAATAAAAAAACGTTTATTAACATCTTAACAACTCCTCTAAAATGATCCCGCTCCCCCCCAATTGTGCTTTATAAAACATCGTAGAATGTTTGGGATGGAGCTTCTCACCACCATCCCCAGATGTGGCGAAACTCTCAAAACTATCAATGCTTTGAAATAAAACGGTGGTAAGTCTGCCAAACAACATTATTCTGTTTTAGTTACAAGAAACTGTCCATACCTAACACAAGTAATCTTTCCAAGAGCATACCTTTTAATCAGTCAAAACTGAAGAAAGATTTCATTTCAATTTTTCATGCATCTAACAACATACTCAAGGAGCACAGCGTTGTCTAGACCTAGCTACTGAGTGCAGCACAGGAAAGATTTTTTGCACATTCTTCTGTCTCTTCTCTGCAAACAGGTAAACATACATTTTATTTCGCATATGAAAAAATAAATATATCAAACAAGTTGCTTCATTTCAAACACAGTTCATTCAGCTACTAAGAAACAGTAACTTATGCCTGGGAAGAAGCAAAAATACAGATATTATCAACCAAGTGGCGGGCTCTGCAAAACTGCATTGTCTCTATTGTACTTAATTTTATTCTTTGGAACATTTTGCCATATTTCCAGGCTTGTTTCGATTCCACATTGGAGTTTTGTCCCGTTTAGCACATGGAATTTGTGTCACCAAAATGGTACTGAGAATGGTGCTCAAGAAACTTTTCTGGTGTTCTGATACACAACAAAATGACCAGGTTTGTATGGTATTTCAAGTGGCCCCAGACAGTACAAAAATGTGAAATACCGGACTAAGAGTAAAGTTCTTTAAATTGCTTACTGGTTTATCATGGTGACGGGAGAAACACTCTATTGACAGAAACACCAGATGCACCTGTTGTAACAAAACTTCTGAGCAATGGTGCAGGGAGCTTGCTTTGCTTGTTAATATAAAACGTGACTGAAATTGCATCCTATCAGCTGAAGATGATACTCAGGAGATGGAGCCAAAACATTGCACAAATTTTACACAGTTCCAAGTTAAGCTAGGTCAATGATTAACCTCTGTCTGAAAAATAAAGCAACATTTGGATTTTTTTTTCTGGGGATGATCTAAGTGAAAATTCAAGGTTGCTTATAAATGGAAAAAGTAATGCTGTTTATAGAACATCCCAAGCTTTGAAACCACACAGATTACTAAGAGAATTTTGTCCTTCTGCATCTCTCAAACACGGCATTAGCCACATCTGGTACCACTTACAGAAATGTGGGATTTAGCTGAGGTTCAGATAGCCTCTGTCTAATTCCAAGGAAGATTAAGCTACAAAGGATCTTACAAAAAGTAATTAACAAAAATGACTTAGTTTCTCACTGCCAGTTTTAGTTTGCTGACACCTTCCAAAATTGCTCTTGCCACTAATGCTGGAGTGGCTGGAAGATCAGTTTAGATCCCTCATCTGAAACCTGATCACTTCTTATCCAGTCTTTCAGCTACCGGGAAACAAAAGTAGCAGAATCCTACTGGATTTGACCAGGTGGATAGCCTTACAAATGGCAGAGCCATCTTGGTGAATATCAAGGGGTAGAACCCAAAGTCTGTTTGAACTTGCGCCAACTTTTCTTCAAGAGAAATTCTGAGGTAAGAGGCTTTTAAAGAAATGCCATCTGAACGTTAGTACTAAATCTAGCATTTTTTAGAAGGAAAGCAGATGAGATCCCTACAGAAGAATGATACCTTGTGAAAACATAAGAGCCTCTATCCTTGCATTTTTCTGTGCAAGTGGCACAGGAGGAAGGCAGTAATCTTGGTGGTCATCAGATTCAATCCTCTCTCTTTCAGCAGCAACTCTCAGGCAGACTGGATGAGCAGTGCTATCTAAAAGCGTCAGAACCTGACCCTCAAGAGGGTCAGGAATCTGACAACTGTCAATGAGATTAATGGCACGGACCTCAAGACTAGCGAGGAGTTTGGGGCAATGCCCCCAAACCAAAAAACACCGACACCCCTCCAAAACCCTCCACAACCATTCAGTGCTATCATATGATGGCTTTGATGATTCAGAAGCACAAAGGACACCTGCAAGAATGCTGCTGGAACTAGGAAGAGACTCCTACTGCCCCAAAGGAGGGAAAGATTTTTCAAACATTGAGGGCTTACGTCACCATCTTGATCTCACTGATGATGGAATAGCCTTAGAAAACCCCATGAACTTCTATACCCAAGAGAGCAGAAATTTTCAGCACAAAAAGCTCTAAAAAGGATGGAGAGCAGGACCAAAAGAGCTGTATTATCGGCATGTTTGTGAAAGTGGGGAGCTCAGGCTCAGTATCAATTTTGACAGAGGTCCCATTGATTTGCCACGAGAGCTTTTTGATATGAAATGCTTGGTCCTTCTTACTTAGGCTGCAGATCAGTAGATGAAGCATGACTTAAGCAAATTCATGCTCCAAATCTGATTCAGGATTTGCAGGTGGAAAAAGGAAGAATTCCTGATAACCAGAAATGCTAGAAACAGCTTGCTAGAAGCCTCCATCTCGTCATGCAGTTGGCAGAAACTAAAAAATGGGCAAACCCACTTCCCTCTAAGAGCACAATCAAGGGTCAAAGCGAGTTTTCCTTTTCAGTGGAAGTATGCATACATACAAATGTGAAGCCATATACGAGTTATTATCAAGACACAACTAAACCTTCAGCTGTGAGCAACTTGTGTAAACTCTGAGTTCTGTGAAGGAAGGTATCCTAAGTCAGGCATGTCTCAAGTGATTTTGAAGTTATATTATTCTCAGTGCTTTTTACTGGGTTTTTGGAGTAAGGAAATTAAGATCTAAGGGGCGCACAGATGGGACAATATCCTTACAAGATACTGTGAGGAAGACAAAAAGGAAACGTATTACTTCTACAGACTACGAAGCAATGTGGACAATGTACTCAAGAACAGTAGATACACTCAATCAATGCACTTACATACTATCACCTGCTGGGAGAAGAGTAACAGTGCTAGATTCTCTGCAGAAAAGGAGAATGTAGGTTCTGAGGCTGCAGCTTCCTCATTATCTAATCATGCCATTACAAAACATCTATGTAAGTCAGTGTGACAGTCTATATAGTTAGGGCAAAAATTACTCTTTCTGTGCTACTACCTGCATTATCATCAATGTAAGTATTTAAAAACACAAGTTGAGTTTGAAGCCTTGCTGTAAATCAGTAAGGCACAATCTGAACCCAGTGGGAATTGCCTTTATTAATTTCTATTACTTTCAACAATGATTGCTTTAACCATTACAAACCAAAAGTCTTTACTATTTAATGACTACCGAAACAGCCAGACCTTCCCAGCCCATTTCATATTCTCCTGAAGCCATTTTAGAGCAGATGTAAGCTCCAAGCTGTACACTTCTTCCATATTAACATTCATTGTCATATGCTTAAGAAAAAGCTTTGGATCAGATACGCGAGCAGCCAGGATCAGTCTCTCCACTGCCGCTTGATAGTCACTGTTATTGTGAACTGTCTGATCTTCGTATCTGTAAGTGAATTTTCACAAATGAAAAATTAGGTACCATACAGATCCTGTGTCACTTGCCTGACGCTTTATACTGGCAACAAAATTGCAAAAACATGAAAATAATGTCTTGTGTTCACTTCACTTATAATAGATTATGTTAATTTCTAGACAAATTTTAGCTGATTATTCTGAAGAATTAAAAAGTTAGAAAATCTGTATTTTTAACATATTTTATGGTAATGAAAAGTAATAGGATTTAATGCCAGTGCAAAGTAGGTCTGCAATATTCACAGCACGTTTCATGAAGAAATGTTCGACTCTGGGCTGGAAAATTCAGTAATGAAATGTAAACCATTTCATGAACTGGATATAGCAAGAATTCATGTACGTGCTTGAATCTGAAAGGATTACTCATTTTGGCGTGTAATCACTTATGGAATAAGGATGGGCCTCAGTGACATGCCTATGTTTTTGTAAGAGCAGAATTTACTCTTTAAGCAAACAAGCAGAGGTACAATAGCATACACATGAAAACAAGAGATAAAAAACTTCTCATTTATCAAAAGAACAAAATTAAGAGATTTATTCCTTGGGAAGCGTAGAGGGGAAGCAAGACAGAGTACTCAAGTTTGAGATGCCCCTGTTCATCCTTCTTAACAAATGTAGCTTTTCTATGCAGTTGCACATTTTGATGCTGAGCCAGTCAATCTTGGAGAAAATGGGGTCTTGAAAAATAAATTATAGGTATAAACTAGTGACAGTGGTTAGTGGTTTATGGACAAAAGGAAAAAGCAAAACCCCACATTTTTATCTCAAGGTATTAAGTCTCACAGAAAGGAGGAAAAAAATCTAGCAAATTTAATATTGAGATATCCCCTATAAAGAGAATCAAGTAAAATGGCTTCATGCGCTTTCCAAAAAACAGCCAAGAAATGTTAGAGTTGCTTTTTGAAAGGAGTAACATTTTGACTGTGCCCTTCTACTCCACTGCTTAACCACAACACAAGAATCGATACACCAAGACATCAAGCTATCCTGTCTGTGAAAATACAGTATAGCTTGATATCCTGGTGTATCGGTAGACACATCCAGTTAGAGAACACAGGCCAATATCACTCTGGAACAATTACTTTTCTGCTACATACATGTAATAATACTAATACTAATACCAATACCCCAGACATTTACTGTTCTATAACCAGTTTAGAAACAAGGATTAAAAGCAAGTTTAAAACCAAACATTCTCTTTCGCAGCCAATGGAAAATAAGATCTCTCATTAATTACATGATCGCATGGATAAATACAATCAAAGTGGTACGTAACTGATAACAAACCTTTTCAGTATTATTTGAAGAGTCTTACTAGTAGCCATCAGACTTTGAATATCACTGGCGTTTGAAACAAGAAATATTTCAATGGCCAACAGCATCTCAACCTCAGACAGGTAAGACGGAATTGTCAAAAGTTTGTGATGTAAATTTCCCTGCAGTGGTGGGTAGCAACCCAATGCTAAAGCACCTGAGAGTAAATGCAGAAATGTAAGGCATTAGAATTACCAATACTGAACATAGTTCTGCTGTTTTCGGTATGTGGCTAAGAATGTGGACACCCCGCCACCCCCCCAACTTTTAATGGATTTTATTATTTCACTTGTGAAATGGCCTGATTTGAAAACACATCAATCAGTATTCACTCATAATATTCACTGTTGTAAAATGCTACTTTTATCAATGAATATTATCAGCGATGATTAAAAAGCTCTGTCAGAAATCCAGGGACTCCAAATGTGTAATAATGCAAGTACAATTTAGGACAGGTCAGACAGAAGATTTATTAACTATGATCACAGCGAGAGGACATTTGAACAGCGTCTCCCCCTTGGCTCCCCTGTCCTCAGCCAAGTGATCCCAGAGACCCAACCTATACAACATTCCAGGGGGAAAAAAAAAGTGAGGAGAAAAAAAAAAAAAAGAGGTGAGGAAAAACAATCATTTCAATGTTAACAAAGCCAAGTATCCATCCTGGGAGGGATGGACTCCTTAAGTAGCTTGCTAACTGCCACAATTCTACAGCAAACAACATGACAATATGGAGAGACAGGTGGACCCTAGGAGAGTGCACATCCAGTATTATCTTAGCTTAGAAGTGGGGAGCTGAAAACAATCACAGACTGATAGCTTTTAGTTGAAAGGAATTTTCTTTCAGTTAGAATAAACTTCATAGCCAGAACTCTCAAATCTTAAATCTTAATACTTTTACCACCGCAGTTCTAAACAGAAGTATAAAGAAATCTAATTTCCTTCGATAAAAAAAGTGAAGATGATGCACTGGTTAACCATTTCAGGGTTCACATTGTTGAAATTCTGAAATTGACCGTAAAAAAATAATTTTATCATTACATCTATTTCATGCCAGGTAGTATGTACTGATTCGTATTTTCCACTGTCACCATTTTCCAATAAACATTTTGGTTACAAATAAATTCCTGATAGTGACACAGAAAGTACCATTTTCTTCTTACAAAATATACTTTTACCCAATTCTCCCCAACACACTGAGCTGTTATGAACATATGTTATCTAAAGAACATAAGGGAAGGATATTGTTTGAGAAGCAACTTACTTCTGTAATAGGTCCTAGCTTTAGACCACAAAGAACTTCTTCCCAAAGCTGTGATTAAGCCTCTAAGTAGAAAAAAATCAACTGCTATGTTTTTTGAAAGCATGAAGTCTACTGCAGAAGATGAGACCCCAAGGTTCTTGCTCTCAAAACAGGCATTTATCAGCTTGTTAAAAAGGCAGCTGTACTGAGAAACATCTACAGTATCTGAAATGAAATGAAGAATATTAACTACAGAATTAAGTCAAATGCAAGTCTAATTGAAGAATCGCTTCTCAATCAGTACCTAAAATCAGGACTCTTGCTTTTAACAGCAAAATGGAACTTGCCCAAGCCTGTAAATACAATCTTCACCTGATGTCTCAGACTTAAAATTTGCACCAATAAAATTCACCTTGGTGCTTCAAGTTGTGTTTCCACTCTTACTCTGAACTGTCCACTTCCACTCAACTGTCCCCTTCTTGGAAGGACTGAGCAGCCTTTACCTGCCTCATGCCTCAAAGGACTAGATCCTTTTAGGATTCTCTAAGGAGATGGTCTTACAACTAAGCTCTCCTAACATACCTGAAAGCAAACACTGGCAATAGGACTGAGACCTACCTACACACAGCAATCAGCTGAGGTTTCTTCAGTGGAGCCTAGGTAACTACGCACCTCATCTTGAAGTACACACTGAAAATTTGCCAAATAAATTAAGCCCAAAAGAGCACTCGGTTCTTAACATGGTATGTGAAAGAAGCCTAGGTTAGCTAGCTCAGTTATAGAAAAAAACAATGCATTCATCTGAATTGAAGATAAAATGAATGGCCCCAATGATACCCCTATTTTATCTTATTGTATAGACTGTTTATGATCCTTAAAAATGTCATGGGTGTTTCCTGTTGCCCTGTGTAACAGAGCCAATTGGAAAAAGAGGACGTGTATAAACTGTGTGTATGCACGTACATGCATGTGTGCATGTGCATGTGCGGCAACAGCTGCAGAGTACAATACATATTTTTACTGACCCTACACTCTTTGGAAAAAAAAAAAAGAACTTATTACTTCTTCAACAAATTTTAGCTGGAAAAGAACGAAAAAGACAAAATCATCCATTACATTTTTAGCTCTTAGCACAGTACCTTTGTCTTTACTTACCAGAATGATTTTGAAAACCTGGTAAGTTCTGCAGAACTTCAAATGCCTGCCTGTATAAACTCTTCCCCAAGTATTTGTCCACTAGTGTACATAACAGATTATGTCGATTGAGGATGTCCATTTTATCACAGGGCCACAGTGGTGCATTTGTGGTCCACTCTGACTCTGTGGCAAACAACAGTGCAGTGTTATTGCTATGAACTGAAACTGCTGGACACTGAGACTTCTGGCCATTAAGAATATACTGTAAACTGTAGCAGAAAACAAATCTCAGAATTTCACAGAAAATGCAGTTCTAATTACCATCAATTCACTCCTTATCACCAATACTTCTCAGGTGTCTTTTCTGAACTTTTATATTGTAAATAATCCCTTTCATTAAATATCATGGTAGTAAATGGACTGTCAGTGGCATATATAAATATATGTGTATATAAATATATACTTCTCTATGTACATATATAAAATTGAATCGCAAATTTTAGATCCTCAATATTACTTTATAGAATACCTTCTATTCTTGTTAATATTTCTGAATTTCTTCTCTTTTCAGCAGATCAGAATTCCAAAAAGCCAGTAATTATGTGTTATTTAATTGCAGAAATATGGTACTATTCTAAAGCTATTTTACTAAATGTGGATACTGTGAAGGGTAAAGAAACTATGCATTGACCCAAGCCAGAAAATTTTTTGACACTGAATGTCACCTGGCCCAATTTACATGGGGCAGAGTCACTTTCTAAGCTGCACCCCTCCCTTATTATGGTAGGCTTTTGAGTGGAATGGTGTTGATGGCAGACTACCGTGAAAAATTTTCTGGAAAAAATTGGTATTGGTCATAATGTTTCTTATACATATCAAGAAGAGTACTAACCAGTAAGATGGATCACATTTTATTTTTGTTGTCCCAGTGTTCTTAACTTTATTTAATAACATTGACCAGCTTGTAACTTTTATCTGAAATCTGTCATAGAAAGGGACTGTTTAAATTTAAACAAAACCTCAGTTTTTTTGGAAGACAAGCTCACCTCTCAATACCCATATGGCTCCATCCAAGCTTCCAGTTTTAAGAAAAATTTCTGCAGCTGTATTAACAATTTGACATCTTGATGCTAACCTCTCTGCACCTGTAAGTCCTTTCAAGACTGTAAAATTTATCTGTATCTCATGCAATTTCTGCA